AACAGCTGGCTTTTGCATTGGGTTTGGCATACCTCAGAAAAACCAAGTCCAACAGCCTCTGTGCACAAAGTCCCATATGGGTGTTTATCTTTGTGTGAATGGGGAAGGTTAGGGCCAGCAACCCTTGGGGGTTAGGGTTAACAAGGATGCATGCAGCTCAGCATTGTAGATGCACACAAGCCGTGGCCACTTATGTTCTACATTTCATCGCTCGCAGCACACCGTGATTTTTTCTTTCCCTGTAGTCTCTCGGCTTCAAATTTGGTGTAGATGCGTCGTGCTGCACAGCACCTGAATATTATCTGAATCAACTTTCAACCTTGGCAGAGCTGATTGAGGCAAGAAGCTGGAAGCTGCTTTAATGCAGTGGTCTATTTTTTAACCTCTGTCCTGAGATGGAAATGGTGGTTGGGCTACCCTTCCTATAACCAAGTTGTTCACACTCGCTAGGCCTAAACCAACTTTGATTTAACCCGATTTAATGCTCAATCCTGGTGTCCATATCGCAGAGATCGAATTGATGATAACATCTAGCAAACTCGTGTACATGCATAGCTACTGTCAACATTGTATTCTGTTCTCTTTGCAGATGAGAAATTTCGCAAAGAGTTTGAAGCTCTGCGCTCCAAGTATCCAGACCAGATGTCCCAGATTTACGTCACTGAAAAGCAAAGTGCACCTGATGAAGACGCAGGAACCCCAAATAGACCTTGCCCCAGCACTTGTGTACCTATGACAAGTCCTAAATGCACTCCAGGAAACACGGCTGGGGTTACTCCGCTCAATGCCAAAGTGATAGTGTCCCCTCTCCCTGGCTCCCTTCCCATTGGCACCAGTCAACGTGTGACTACCACCATCCCAGTCCCAGTGTCATTCAGTGTCTTCAAACCTGACCCTAAGGAAAACAACAGTCCAGAAGCCATTCCAAGTCCTGGTAGAGCTTCCGAGCCTTCTTCCTCTCAGGCCAAGTCTGCTCTCGGTGGCCCTGCTGCAAAGGCACCTGGTCAGTATTCTCTGTTGACAGACACTGTCAATGCACTCCACATGGTGTTGCGCAACCCAGACACCATCAGACGCAGCAAGCGCACCATCAAGCAGCCAAACAGCTGCGAGTTCGAGTACCAGCCAGTGGTGAAGAGGAGCAAGATGGAGCTAGAAGCAGCCTTGGCGCTCCAGCGTGGTCGTCAAGACCTTCCCAGTCAGACCCAGTACCTGAAGATCCCTGTTGATGGGAAGCTGCTTCAACAAACCACTGGGAAACCCATGCAAACTGTCATCATCAGAAGGGAGATCTCCGTCTTGCACAAAAACTCTCCCCTATCAGTTAGTGTCGCAGGGCAAGACCTAATAGCAAGAGGAAACACAAGTGGCAAGCCTCAAGCACCTATCACAGCTACCCTAGTACCTGGCACTATACTTAAAGGAGAACAGCCAGGGCTGGCTGGCCCACGGCAAGCAATCTTCGTCAATCATGTTGCTGCTCTTCCAATAAAGACTGTAACCCTAAAGCACCATGCACCTCATGACGTTCCTTGCGATTCTCCTCCGCAACCTGCCCCCCAGGGATTGCACACTGACCAGGACGCAAAACTCCTGTGTGTAGAACAGCTGAGTGATACAGACGAGATCATGGCTTCACAACAACCGTTTCATGAAGTCGAGTGTGAAAAGACTGTCCACTGTGCGGATCAGGGAAGACAGCAGGGTAGTCAGCAGCACATGGAACGGAAGTTGGACGAAAAAGGTTTGAGGCTTGACAAATCCAGAGTTAGAAACAGGAAAACGGGCATGCAAAGAGAACCATGTACAAAGGTATGCAAAGAAAAATTCAGTTGTCGTTGATTCACAAATGTCCATTTGTTCATTCTTTCTATTCCAAACTGAAAAATGTTGATAACAAGACATGTACATTTCTCAGTTGGTTACGTCATGTAATATTGATATGAAAACAACAAAAAACTTTGTTATTGTAATGTTATAACTCACTCAACTCACACAAGTTTTCAAGAAGTCTTTGTTTTTTTGTTTTTTAATGTTGTTGACGTTTGAGTTGAGTTTTTACTGCGAGTTGTTCGTGCATCACGAAGCATTTTTCTTTGATTTAACCTCTGTTTTGTTTGTGCATGCCTGTTTTCCAAATTGACAAAACTTGTTACGTGAAGAAATATTTACATGTACAAGCTTTTGAGATGCCTGAAGGTTTGCCCACACCTTTTAACTTGTCCAGCTTGACAGAAAAATTCTAAAATTGCTAGTGATTTCAGAATTTTTCTTGTACAACCAAGAACGCATTTGAAAAAAAAATTACATGATGCCAATTGGTTTTTCAAATAGGGAAGATCGTTGGAGACCATTTGAAGGCCTGACGTCATGTCAGTTCACTGCATGGGAATTTGAATTACAGGTGTTGCCCTAACCCACAGTGTATTCACAAACACTGTACATGTATACTCGGTGCTTACCAGAGACCTTGCGAAAAAATTCACAAGCTTCCTCAGGTGGGGCTCGAGCCCACAACTTCCTGCTCGCTGATGCAGACGTCTTAACCACTCGACCACCGAGCGTGCTTGGGTTGGCTGGTCGGTCTAAGTCATATGTAGCAGCGGGTACTGCAAACTATTTTCAAGATGTACTTTGTGTCAGGGAAATGTTAATTTTAATGACGGGTTTTGCCCATACCCGATGTTCATGTTTGTGATGTGAGTCAATATGCAACTGCCATAATAGTGATGACCTCATGTGTGTGTGATGATGTCCTTGAATAACTCATGACCTGCTATTTTGTCTGTGCACTGTTGAAATGCCGAATCGGCTCTTTCCAGAGCATCTACATGTATGTATGTACAGGTACATACATGTACACCTGACATTTGCTCCTCACCACTTGAACAGACCTTATTCACAAGCACATGTACGTGTAAGCCATTTTTGA